AAGTCAACATGAAATTGTGTTGGCAGCCAATTTCCATAATGTGACTTCTTTTCCAAGTGAATATTCAGCATGAAAAGATGTAAAGTGGGACTTGATTCATCAAATGTAATATATTTTTGTGTTAAAGATAAGTAACAGGAAAAGGACATACATTCCAGAATTGAGGGATTTGTGATGTCAACCAGAACAAAAGTAATTTTTTATATTTTAAAGCTGCAGTCCATGACTTTTTTTGTTTGTTAAAATGATCCAAAATCAATTTTTGAGCAAGTACAAAGCCAGCCAGTGTTCAAATCGATCTCCTTACCTTAGCCCGATGCACAACAGTAAGCTTATAATAATGTGTTCTAATATGAGTGATATACTGGTAGGAATGCACGGGATATTCGAGCGTGCCGCCGCATTATTATGTCACATCTGTAAACATAAAGAAGTTGTCCTGGCTAATAGTCTATATCACATGTGATGATGCTGCAGGTGGCGGATCGTTTATAGCCTTTTCTCACAGCAGCTGGAATAATTCAATTTATCATTTTGATGGCGGATTGTAATCCATAAAAGATTGTGTTTATGAAAAATGTAGCCTAAGGGATTGAAATTAGATTATATTCTAGTTTTAAATGTGCATCTGATTACAGATAGCCTACGTGGGATTACACAAATTGGAAGAATAATTCGCTTTTTGTGTTGAAAGAATTTCTTTATATGAAATTCGAATGGTACGACAATGGTAATGACTGTACAGAAACTGAAATCTACATGTAATGCTAATACACACACATAGTCACGCAATGCTGATGTTTTTTGAGAACAAAGTATAACAAAAATAATTTGCACGGTTTGATGTGATATGAGCTAACCGATTGTTAGCGCAATTTATTGTAATGCTTTTTTCCCCTCAGTTGGTCAGAACAAAAGTGGCAGACTTGTTACTTACTCGTTCAGAGGACAAAAACAAGTGAAAATTCTTATTTGGGTCATACTCCCAAGGCTAGAATAATTCCAAAGTACAGTGTCCAAACCAGTGCGGTGTCTGACAGCCACACGTACTCCCTTAAAAACATTAGATTCATCCGCGCTGGAGCCGTGCCGGTGCACCACGTAATTAAAATAATTCTGCAAATAACTGCAGTTGCAGGTTTCAAACAGAGATGGAGGCAAAGAGGTAAAACCTACAGACTGCAGCTTTAATGAAACATTACAAAGACAACACGCACCAATAATTCAAGCACAATAAGACCACATGTAAACGCAAATGTGACTGTGGTGCTTTCACAACAAAACTCTGTTTAAGAGTCAACCAACAGCATGAGTTTGTCAGGTTTTATCTGTGTTTGTTTTGGTTTTGGATGGTTGGCACATGACCTAGTTTTCAGTTAGTTTCCTTGGCTACTCATTGTTTAATTTGCACACCTGCTGTTCATTTCTTTGATTGGTGTAGTCTGCCTATTTAAAGGGACAGTTCACCCAAAAATGAGAATTTTATCATTAATTACTCACCCTCATGTCTTTCCAAACCCGTAAGAACTTCGTTCATCTTCAAAATACAAGATGTTCTGCGTCAGCATAATGGCTCCAGGGTGACGCAGAGGAGAAGAATTGTTGAATAATGTCATTATTTTTGTTTTCTTTGCACGCAAAAAAGTATTCTGGTAGCTTCATAAAATTACGGTTGAACCACAGATGTCACATGGACCATTTTAATGATGTCCTTACAACGTTTCTTTGCCTTGATTTTGGTAGGACCCTTGCTGACCCTTTCTGCAAGGTCAGAAAGTTCTTGGATTTCATCAAAAATATCTTAATTTGTGTTCCGAAGATGAACGAAGGTCTTATGGTTTTGGAACGACATGAGGGTGAGTAATTAATGACAGAATTGTTGGGTGAACTATCCCTTTAAGTACTGTTTAGTAAAAACATGAACACACTAGAGCTGCTTCATAGTCATAACTGAACAGCTTAGTCGTTTTTGTTGTGTTTATTTTGCTATTGAGAGGAAAGCGCACAGCACATACTTACATATTCATTTGGATGGTGTTGGGATAAGAGTAGGCTAAGCGAAAAATGACAAAGCATGGTCATGAGTATACTGGGGTCTTAAGTAATAAACTTTGGTTTGGGTAACTATTAAGTTTCTCATGACAGTTCTTTCAAATCTGTGTTAGCAAACTAGACTCAGTGGATAGTGGAGCAATCTCTCTTTAGTGGCAATGAGGAAATGCAAGACCTGGGTCTGTTTGCATAAACTGCTTGGACTAGTCTTAAAAAGTTAGTCATCTAATTTGCTTTCTTCATGACTGGTCATAACTTTTCAAAAGTCAGACACAAAAAGGTAGACTGGCCTAATTTGAATCAGAAAAGTAAGACTTATTGGCTAACTGCTAGTTGGTAAAACTAGTTAAGACAGTCTTAACATAGTGGCTGTGTGACTAGCCCCTGAAACATCTAGAGCCTAATCTACACAGGAACTTTAACGGGGAGGGGAAAACAATTGGCAGCCAATACCTAATAACAGTGTGTGTGTTTCGAAAGAGAAAAAAGGAGGTTCTTCAAAAAGCCAGTGTTAACCAACCCAGAATCTACAAATATGTCCCACTCTTTTTCCTGATTTTAAAAAGAAAAGAAATATTCAGAATCTTTCATACATTCTGCTTTGACAAAGGAGGCTTTTATCTTGGTCCCATTAGCATTTTTGGCACTGGAGCAATTTACATTTTTATAGCATAATTAATGAACAAGAAAGTCATTTACATTTTTCCTCTGTTCACTGCCACACTGTGTGGAGAATATTTTATTCCAGGGGCCAGTATTTGGGAATTTGGCCAGTGTGTGAAGGAAAGGGAACGGCACGGTGAGAGGATGAATAACCCGTTCTGCTTTCAAATCCAGTGCGGGGCAGACGTTCCTCTTTCAGGTGCAAATGGAAGGTAATGTGTACGACACATCGGTTGGCTCTCGCATCAAACAGAAGGCGGTATTCAAGCACTAATTAAGCCATTTACACATCTCTAAAGAAAAGGATTCATACATGTATTCCTCAGACAAGCAATTGGCTATCATATTTATCATCTTGTGGGTAAGATGTTGTAATATTCTTATTAATGTATCATTCAAATATTCTTTACTTTTCCTGATGATTTCTTATGTTGATAAGCATATTGTAAAGCAGTAGATTGCAAAGTTCACTGTGTAAAAGGTTTGCCTATGAATGAAAATTTGCTGGAAATGTACTCCCCCTCAGACCATCCGAGATGTAGATGAGATTGTTTCTTCATCAGGGGCCGGTTGCATAAACTGTTTAGACTAGTCTTAAAAAATGTAGTCACCTAATTTTTTTTTCTTCAAGACTGGTCATAACTTTTTTTAATTCAGTTATGGAAAGGTAGATTTTTCTTATTTGTATTAAAAAAATAACTCCTTGGCAACTGCTCGTTGGTCAAACTAGTTCTTAAGACACAGTCTTAACATGGTGGCTAAGTTTATGCAACTGGACCCAGATTTGGAGAAATGTAGCACTGCATCACCTGCTCACCAGTGGATCCACAGTGAATGGGTGCCGTCAGAATGAGTCCAAACAGCTGATAAAAACATCACAAGAATCCACATGAGTCTAGTCTATTAATTATGACCCGTAAACGGTGCCTGATCTGTGCATATTCCTCTCCTGATTCAGACAAAACAACTTTTTCACGGGAGGAAGCACTATTATGGACTAGTATTAGTATTTTGGCCAGAAAAATTCTGCTTAATTATGGATTTGTTTCTTACACAGTTTTTCGCATCACAAGATATTAACTGATGGACTGGAGTGGTGTGGATTACTGTGATATTTTTATCAGCTGTTTGGACTCTCATTCTGACGGCACCCATTCACTGCAGAGCACCCACTGCTGAGCAAGTGATGCAGTGCTACATTTCTCCAAATCTGATGAAGAAACAAACTCATCTGCATCTTAAATTGTCTAAGGCTGAGTGCATTTTTAGCAAATTTTCATTTCTGGGTGAACCATTCCTTTAAAATGAATCACATCTAGTGAACTTCACAGGGCTCATTTTTATGCCTCGTGTGACAGGTCCATAAATATATTAATATTTCATTAGATGTTACCTCAGGACATAGGTGAGTCCGCCTAGACCGCACTTCCTGTGTCACATGTGAGAGAATGTTTTTTTTACTGACTTTATTCTCAAAAAGAATAAGAACGAGTGCAGCACTTCTGTGTTAAATTATGATACGATATGACGTAACTAACATGGCATTTTGTTTTCATGTAAAATTAAAACCATAAAACAGTAAATGGTATTACAGAGAGAATCCCTGCAGACATGGCATGTGAATACACATAATTGCCAAATACACCACTGCTGTTTTCAGAGACCTGTCGAAGACACTATAAAAATACAAAGAGAAATAGTGCTTTAAACTGTTTTTGCTATCTTCGAATATACCTCAAAGTCTATTGAGCACTACTAAAAACTATTGAACATTAGGCAGAATATTAACAGAAACGGGTCATTTAACTTATATTGACCTTTAGTGACCCCTCCAATAAGGGATCAAAAATCTGTCAAATTTCAGATACATTCAAATAAAACAAAACCAATCATGAACAGACACAAATGTAGAATAAAACATGAAAAATATTTCTCAAAAAAAAAACATCTTTAATAATTATATATAGAAATGTGTAGAAGCTTGTGATTTTCATTGTTAGTTTGTCGGTGTAGTAATATTGTGTTCACTTCTTATGACAAAATAAAATGATGTTGGCATCATTTTAAATAATAGTCATTTTAAAACAAATTATAATGTAATCAAGTGCAAACCACTGCTACATTTTTGGACTGCAGACCTTATAGTTACTGATACATGGGACTTCCACGTGTGACAACTTGCCCCAGTCTCTCCAATGCAATGCATAAATCACATCATCTGTGTGTGACATGATCTCCATGAGCCCACATTACCACACTGTCATATGAAGCCTCCTACCCTTTTCGACGAGGACATCATCTCATCACGCTAACAGCTGAAGCAGAGAGGTGAAGGAGCAGAAGTCTGCTTCACAGACAGTCAGTCAGCCACACGCTGTGGCGCGCAACCGTGCGCTCGGTCACTCACTTCGCTCTCCGTGCGCGCAGAGGCAGCAGCATCAGCAGCACAGCACACACGCGTAACTGATGGAGCAGCTAGACGACGAACTGCTCGGCAACTGCGGCGGAATAACGAGCGAGAGCGAGACCACCATGAGCCTGGAGGAACCGCGCGCTCTGCCATGCTGAGCATCTCCATCGCGCTCCTGCTGGCTCTGACCGCTCCCTTCCGCTGCGCACACAGCTGGAGCGACGAGGACCTCCTGCTGCCGCCCATCAACTCCTCCGGGAGACTCCTGGCCAGCCTGGAGGTGGATGTGGGCTACTCCAAGAGATCCGTGGAGGAGCCCGAAGCCTCCTCGCAGTGCAACGTGAGCGTGGAGAGGCTCCCCACCAAACTCGTGGCGCGCTGGGACAGCAACTTCGGCTTCCAGTGCGACGTGCTCATGTACACCACGAACAGCCACGGCAAGGCGTTCTTCTCCGCCGCCTTCAACCGGGCGATCTCGCCGGTCTACATCGAGCACCTTGGCGTCACGGGCGGCCAGCAGGAGTTCAGACTGTGCGTGGGATGCGGTCTGTCCCGGTACCGGAGATTCCGACGGGGCAGGACAGAGGGTCAGCAGACGGGCGACTCGGTGCACTTCTGCTGCGTGGATTCAAATGGGCGACGCCAGACTTTTTTACGCTTTGATAATATTCTTTTGATAACATTCTAAATAAGACAATATTAAAATGTAATAATGCCAATGGAGGGAGCAGGAATGAATAAAAACATAGTTTACATACATTACATGACATAACAAATGCCCTTGGAATCACTGCCACAACTGTAATCATAACTCAACTCTGAACTGTAAGGATTATTGTCTTGTTGCATGCTGAATTTACTCACATGAATGAAGGAAAGTGTGCTGGAACTGACCTCTATAATGACCTTTATTTCTGCCGTGACTCTTTTATATACGGTGAACGAGAAGTGCAAAGCAAATCACAATTCTGAAAACAAAATAACAAATTACAAACGCAAATGCAAGTCTAAAAAACATTATAACAAGTCAGAAAACACAACGACAAATCAGACAAACCGGAAGAGGTAGGTATAGTTTGAGACGGCACCATTGGTTTGGGATTACTCACCGCTGACTGGACGAGACATCTGTCAATCAACGTATACAGAGAAGAACCAGCCGAAGAACAGCAGAGTCGTGGTAGAAAGTGCGGAGATGGTATTAAAGTAGCTCAGTTTAAATGTATTGCATGAATTGCCCTTACTATGGAATAAAAAATACGGAGTGTATATTTAGATTTAGTTAAAAGTGGCTGTAGAACATCAGCTCCAGTGACGCAGATGGATAAGTGCGTGTCGTTGGCTTTTTAACGCGATCGACCCGGGTTCGATCCCGCCTTTTGCATTAATACTAGTGCTCACACAAATACAGAGTGCAAAGTTTGCGTCAGACAGGACACACAACAGTTGTGCCAGTCATCTGTGGTCCTCAGAAGTGACACGCTTTTGGATTTCAGCTGCTCGCAGCCAGAGAATGTATTCACCGTACAGATCATCATAGATAATGGTGAGAGCTGCCAGATAAAAAAATATATACTTTTTATTCTTTACATTTTCGTTTATACAGTGTGTGTGTGTATGTGTGTATATATAAAAAATATATATATATAAAAAATTTGAATTGTACACAACACATGTAAACTCTCAGTACACATCTGCATTTAGACAACCTATTAACCCCCTGGTGCTCATCACGTGGTGGGCAAAAGTGACCAAGTTTATATTTTTATTTCAATCCAAATTATTGTACTAAATTGTATTTGGATTATTTTAATTAATTTAAATTAATTTGTTTTGTATTTTTATTTCATGTTACTAAATTTCCACTTTGTTAACCACTTTCTGAGCAAAGACCTGAAAATGTAATATCCAACTTAAATAGCCATAAATCTTGAACGCTTTGGAACACAGATGGTGTCTTTTCAAAGAAGACACTTGGGATATTATTGCTGAAGTAAAAAATGAAAATTGAAATTAAAAAAGTTTTTTGTTACACAAAAATAGTATTTTCACATTTTATATTAAATATATATCTTCCAAAACACATTTAACTCTAAAACTGAAGAATTAAAAAAATGTATGTGAGGTTGATATAAAAACAACAACAAAAAAAGTACCAAACATTTCAACTAGAAACCAATTTCCTTTCATTAATTTCCAGTGCTATCATTTTTTTGTTGGTTTACATAGCAAGTGCCAGTACCTTTACCAAGTTCCATACCATTCTGGCAAAGTAAAAAAAAAAAAAAAAAGACTAAAGAGCACCAGAAAAGCTTCATTTTACAACCAATGCACACTTTTACATTATTCTCCATCTTATATTACTAAAAAATGATAGCTTGCAGGTGTGTACTTGTTGTCAGCTTAATATATCCACTGTATTCTTTCTTTGACTTGCACGTTTGCTCCACAGTGATATATAACATCGAACCCAAAGAATACAATGCTTTTCAAAAGTTCAATCGCACCTTCATCTGGAATCTGAAGCCGCCGGCTACAAAGAGCTTACATTTGAATTTCACTAGTACTGGTTTACGGCAGATTCAGCCCACAGACAGCTGCCCAGACAAACACGTTTACATGCTCGCAGTGGAGGATGTCAGCGTTGGAAGGTTTTGTCCGAATGGAACTATTAGACAAGTCGATGTGCGTCACGTTGGCAAACTGTCTTTGGAAGTGTCTGGAGGTCGAGCTCTGGACAAGAAGGTTATCGGTGTGTCACTGGGACATCTCATTAACTGTAAGTACAATGGTAAACTTAGATATTTAAGCATATATGTGCATATATGCATATTTAAGCATATATGTGAAAAGTTGTACTTTATTTTACAGCACTGGCTAATTTCCATGTTGTTCTCCCAGAGAAGAGTTCAACCCAGGACTTCTTTACCCCAATCGCTTTTCCTGAAAATGCAGAGACAATGTGGTATTTTACTGTTCCCCACGCGTACTACACTGATGTGCGCATTCTGAGCTACACTGTCCCAACATGCCTCCAACCTGAAAACATCCCTACAATGAAGTACACTTGGCAGGGCAAAGAGCCTCTGGTGAAACTGATGAATGTAAGCCAGCCGTCGGTGGAGCCTGGAAACTTTAATCTCTCCATAAAGAACTGCAAAATATCTGGGCCACAGCCTCCATCGCAAGGCCTAATGGTGCACGTCCAGATCTCTGCCATCAAGAGAAGCAAGGGTAGGTATCACAAATTATTTATTTTCATAATTAGAATTGTGTATGCCTATTTATGTATATTTTTATAGTAATCATATTAGGTTATTCCGTGTCAACTCAACCAGAGGCCTCTGGCTAAGATTGTTTATTTGTTTGTTTGATTGGTGGAGAAAGAAACTACTGTACATAAATGAAGATGAGAAGCCAAAATACTAAACACTATGGATGCATATTTACTGAGTAATCCACTATTTTTAAAAAGAGGTCAAAGTGACAGTTTTCATGTTAGACCTGGAGCTACGAGGGAGGAAAATTTATGAAAAATAAAATAATGGCAGCATTATTATTCCATTTTTACACAAATTGGTAACAATTTTCTGCAATCCATGTTGCATTATATGCCAATTATATGCCAATGGTCAAAAAGCACTTTTCATATTTTATTCCAAAGTTTGCATGCTTGTAACTCAAGAAATATTAAATCTATCTCAATATCCTTTTAGATTTTTTTCTTAACAAACATTTCTTTTGGTATCTTTATTTTTAAGGCCCTATATGATTCCGTTCCAGAGATATTAGCTCTCAATGTGGCTCCATACCCATCTGAGTGCCAAAGATATTCTTTTTTGCAAAGTTTGTGTGCCTGCAACTCAAGAAGTATTAAATATATCTCAATATCCTTTTAGATTCTTGTCTTAACAAACTGTATTTTTGATTTTGTACTTGATTTTTAAGGAACTATATGGTACATCAGGGCTCTCAGTATGGGTCCATGTGCACATTTTTGAATTTTACTCCTTGTCAGTGGTCGAAAACCTTATTTTCATTCATGTCGTTTATATAGTGTAGCCACCAGTGTGTTACTCTGGGTTTAGAAGAGTGACTCTCAAAAGATTTTTTTAGAATCTAAGATTTGTTGCATTTGTATGCGATTGTTTCCTTGACACATTTTTATTATTATTTATTGATAGCTTTATCATTATTGATTTACTTTGACCTAACTTTGATTGAGCCATCTGTTGTGTCATTATGGAAAACCCAAGCAGTTCCAGGCCATGACTCATGAATACAGGATATGAGAAGAGAGCTTTCTTTCTTTTCAGTGGATTTTGAAGAGCCTCGGGTCTCACAGGAGTTGCTTCTTAAGCTACTTTAGTCAACCTTGCTTTTTCACATGTTTGATTAGGGTGGGGAAGGATGAAATATAGAGCAGCAGTCATTGATTCAGTGTTGAATCAACACTGATTTCAGACAGTGTTTCAACATCGAGCAGACAATCATGACAAACATTTAAATTATTGGTTATATTTTAAATGCAGTAGGGATTTTTGCTTTTAATTTCATCCCTTGTTTAAATATTTTTATTATGTCAGAGTAACATGCTAAAGTTACAATTATAGCAAGTGTCACATTAAATTAATGCAGATTTTTTTTAAAGCTGTTTTTATGACCATACATGTGGTCAACTTATTGGACGTAATTTGTGTAAAATCAAGCATGAAAAATTCATCCAGACGAAAGTTTTTCAAATGTGTTGAGTGCGTCAAAAAACAAATTTGTAAAAGTAACTCTGGAATTGTGGTTCAAATTGCTCATTACTTCCAAAAAGTCATCAGTTTGCAAAATACGCATGACTTGATGTGTTACCCTCAAAACTGATTGTTTACATGAACACCAGAAAACCGCTTATTGTGCGAAAGCTGTTTACTGCACAAAACAGTGTTTTACATGCACTGTGATTAATGCTGGGCGGTATGACCAAAAATGTATATCACGGTATTTTTCAAAATTATACCGGGTTCACGGTACATGACGGTATTTTTTTTCATGCATGACAGGGTGTTAACCATATTTTCTACTGATTGAGAGAG